CCATAACGACTAGGTCGTTTCGTGCACACGATTCCAGTAGTTTCCTGTGGTTAGGGAACTTTGACTCTAGCGTCCTCTAGGGTACCTGTAGGTAGGATATAGTCTATCTAGGGAATTTACCTTACTATTTTATTCAGTCGAACCGTCTGTCCTCTGGCTAAATTGATCAGTGTCCATTTACCGTCGACATTCCAAATCCTCAAGATAACGTGACGTCAATTTGTGACATTAGCATCCATATAGAACTGGGACATTTATTTTCCCTAGATTATTATTGCAACTTGTATTAGTTTCGAATTCCCTAGGATCTACGAGGTACGGATCTAAAATACACACTTTACGAGCCACATTCGAATTTATACTCTCGTTAAAATCCAACTAACGATCTCTCCCTATATACTTGTGTAATTGCATTTGATTTCGCAATCAAGTACAAAATCGTATTCACCGTCATAAACCAAATACTGGGGAATCCCCGTTACGCCATCCTGACATTCCGTATAAATCATTCCGCTCGACGGAATCCGAATTCCTGACAAGGTCGCAACTGTCAACTGACTACTTTCGAATTCAGGATCTTTTTCCTAAAAATTATACACTGTGAACTTACATTTTTTTTTTTTCTACAAATTCCTCATTTTTTTTTTGGCCCCACCTCGTAAAGTTTCGCAAGAGTGTAATAACGCTTTCGCGATTAAATTCTCGGCGGGAATTTTAAAATGAGCCGTCGCGCGTCTCGCGAAAATATGACGTTAAATTATAGACGCATTATTTTTAAAAGTAGATGCCAGGATAGTGGGATCCAGTATGGCGTCGTATATCAGTGACGACGCCACTGCATCCGACCACTTCCTTTTGTTTACCGCGTATCCTCGTAACTTCACAGGAAGAGACTATATCCACAGACACCCTACCTACTGGAAAACCGGAAGTCCAACTACATTTCCGCACACCTCAAACACCCTCGGGTATACTTTCGCGATTCTACAAATTCCAAAAGGGAGAAAGTAAAAAGGGGGATGAAAACCCCTAATGCCAGCAGGAAAGCTACAATGTGAAGTAACGTACAAAGGCTTTATAATCCAGCGTCGCGACGTCTTTTATACCCGAAACTTGGTCGCTTAGGTATGTCCCTAAGAAAGACGAAGAACGCACAGGGTGTACCAGCAGTAGGTATACAGATTCGCTTCCGTCTCCGAAGTTTCCCAAGAGATTCGTGGGAAAAAGTTTTTCCGCTACGAGATCCGCAGTGAAATAGGGGTGCGGGGGGGTGGAAAAGCTTGTCGACATCCGAGATGTACATAGGTAGGCAAACATAATATGTACGTACCCGTACTGTATACATATGTAACTAAAGAGTACGCCTATTAACGCAACAAATGTAAATTAAGGGATGCAAGCCTTAAAAAGAAAATTTCAACTTTTCAAAACAGTCCGTACCCCGTTTGAAGGATGTTTACCGATACTATAGTTTGTATTTTTTACTCGTACCACCGTAGGTGCCTTTTTGTTCAACCCCCTTTACAACTACCCCTTTCGAATCAACCCTTAACCAAACTCATACCCACGTTCTATAAATGTTCTCGTAAATTCAACTTGGCTTTGACTTCGGGGCTATAATTTTTATTCGAGTGGCCCATTCGTAATCCGCCAAGTAGACTGTCCGAAAACGGCCAAGTTTTATGCGCATGCGCGTACGAGGAAGTTCGCTACTCTTATTGGAATTCGAACGCGAGCTGACTGGACGATCGGAAAGGAAAGGTGTATAGAGATCTACTAACGCTCACACGTCCTTGTTGTGTGGGATGACCCTAATCCATTAATTTGTCCATCTGGGATTCCGTTGCCGGTGAACCGTGATCCATTAGCGTGGCGAAGTAAGTTTGAAGAAAGTCTGATAACTGTTTTTTGGAATGCCTTTGAACTGTCTGATCTGTTATTACCATGCGAAGTCTCTGATTTAGATAGACGAATATGTGCTATGGCTTAGTTGGGAGATCGAGACGAAATAAGTAGCGATAGGGAAGACCCATTAGATTGTTCCACTGAGAATTGATGAAGAGTCATCAGGATGAATAATGATTTTCTGTCACCTGATTTTATCAGGCGTCCCGCGTTATCAGTGAATCAGACTTATCAGAGCGATTATTCAACACGGTATTCGGTCAATCAATGCTTTGTATATTTAATCGCGTGAACTTTGATCTCGAACAATTACAACGATATTAATAAATTTGTATGATATTTTATTTTAATGTTTTCACTATTTTTTTTTATCTCAACAAGATTTTCGTAACTACACACAAAATTTGTTATTTCTACCGTCCATCGACTTTAATCGAAATAACGTTGCGAGCGTCCCGGCTAGTACTACGTTAATGGAATAATTAACGTTGATTGATGCAAATTCGAAATTGCAATGTTAAATCGAAATCAATGGAGTGTCTGTTGCAAATACTCTATTCGCATTTTCACATGCTCGCGTATACGTTTATCATTGTCGACAAAATGTCTCTTGTACCGTTTGAATTGTTTTTGTCTGTTATCATTACAATTGTTAACACCTAGGCTGGTACTAGTAGCTAAGAAACGAAATAAGGTAATTCTTTAATACGGCAGCTTTAGGAAATAAAATGTTTTTCAGAGATAATTTAGGAAACGTAAGAGCCAGGACTTTTCTCGTCTCTTGGTAAACACTCGGTAAAGTGCACGGAGTGCACTTGCACTTAAGTGCAGCCAGTGCGTTTTTCTTAGTCGGTAATTCCTATTTTTTTTTTTTTTTTCAGCGACAACTTAAGCTGATTCGCGAGAGTCTTGAACTTTCGGTTTTGCGAGTTAGCGTCAGTTTTCAATGAAATATTACAAATGTCAAAAGTCACTCGTTATGCGCATGCGCGAGAAAGAAAATCATAATTAAATTTCAATTTTGTTCATTCCACGCACGCGTCGTATACACAGTGCAGGTAACCTATATAACGTACATACGCATGCAACTGCACAGAAATTTCTCCGCAATTACGACAATGAAATCGATCGCGTCGCGCAATGCGTATTAGCAGACGCGTATTTATTTCCGTGTTCCGGTATAAATCCGTGACGATTAATTACATTTTTTTTTATTATCCCTGAACGAGATCGCATCCTGTTTTGTTCGAGAGGTTGATAATCCCTCTGCTATGACGTCACTGATAAATCCTACAAACAAACTAATACGCGGTTATCACTATCTTCCTCGATACAATCCGATTGGCGGGAACTGCTAATTCATTCAAATTACCAGTTTCCAGTGTGACCAACAGTGGGGCATAACAAAAACATGGAATAACCAACATCAAAGGATCCGACGAGCTGACGGGAACGAATTTTGAGTACGAAAAAAGAAAAGTGACAAAGGACTAAAGGCAAAGGAGGGTAAAAAAATGCGAAAAAAATAGTAAATGAAAAAACCAAAAAGAAAACGACTCGTTACCGACTTTTCGCGTCGCTATCAATTTTTTGGCGCGTGCCATTTTTTCTCCCTTCTCCTCCCTTCCCTGCTTTGTCCCTCTTTATCCGGTGTTACTCTTCTATACCTTCCTCGAGTGCATTTCCATGTGAGATTGATACTTTCCAGCAGGATTAAACCAACTCGTTCATCCTGTATATTTACGTATAGTATATGTAGTATATAGTGCATATAGTATATGCATACGTGTCGCCCTGACTACCCCTATGCACATACCGTACTGTGGACTGTATCCATATATCCATCTAAATGTGTATACAATACATATATATGCGCATGTAACGTCCACACGATGTATCCACTTTAGCAGGGAGTCCAAACCAAATTGAAATTTCGAATTAAACGATGCGGATCATCCGCACCCTACGGATTCCGCATTGCTCCGCTTCGATGTTCCCAGATGCGTTTCAAGGCTTACATAACGTGCCAATCAAAATTACGTGAACGAAACTGGGAATATGTAGTAAAATAAAAAAGGAAGTACGATTCTTGTCTGATTCAATCACGAGATAGTATTTTGAAAGTATGGTACTGCAGATGACTGTAGAGATTGTGCTGGTATATCTATGATTTTGGAAAAAAAAAAAAAAAAAAACCTTCATGGTACACAGCGATCCATTCGTATGGAAATCCCATCTGAACAGTTTCCAGATTATTCAGATAGAAAATAAAAGTCTTGCCAGTCCACGTACGGAGATGATTCTATAGTCCGTATATGGTAGCGTACAGTACGTTTTGTCATATGCATTTTTTTTATCTAACCAATTTAATACTTGGTACGATAGCCTTTATCTTTTGTATTATCCATGTGGGTTGTTGCGAAAAAGCATTTTGCGTAGTGTTTCAGGTATATCGACTGCCGTGTTGTGTACTGTGACAAAATTACATAAGAATGAAAAAAAAAAAAAAATTAACACGACATTGTGGCAACACATGCTGTACGTATTCGATACGTGTATAAAGACCGTTGGCCAACGATCTTTTATTCCTTTATATTTTTAGGTATCCAGGATACTACAACCCTTGGCTATATCTGATCTAGAGGGATGCTTTTTTTCTTCTTTATTGTTTACACTGTATTATTTTCCAACGGATTTTCTTTTTGTCGACCGACCCTTCTCTTTCTGTCCACGTACCACGTGGCATTTTCTTGCCCCATTACTTTTGGCTATATTTACCCCGTCGAGGGGTGGTCCGAGGTTTGAAGAAAATGGGTGATTAAGTACGTTTTCAGAATTCTTGAGTACCTACTTTACGTCCATCTATCTACGAGACTCGAGAGGGATGTATTCATCTTAGGGTAGTTTTTTCTGGTTTTTTTTTGTTTACTGTTATTTCGTATCAATCGACACCCCCTGCTTGCCCCTCGATATGATTCGGTATACTTCAACGTGTATCTGTCGTTTACATTATATATAAGGATGCCAAATATTTACTGATTTCAATGTTTACGTATTACATTTGCACCGTTAATTATAGGATCTTATTGTTTCAGGTGCCGGATGAAACAATGGAAGGGTGATTTACCACCGACGTCCGTTATAATCACTTTTCATAACGAGGCACGATCAACCCTATTGCGCACGGTGGTAAGGTGAGTCTTAAAGTGGTTAATTTGACATTATTAATATAATAATAAAGGAATCTCTGGCACTGTCAGGCCCATATAATTTTATAATCTTCGTTGCTTCTTATTACCCATCATCATTTCTGGCGTCCCTGACATTTCCGTTAGAAGTTTGAAGACGTAAATCCCGAATAAATTTTTGCATGGCTATCGAGTGAATAAAAAAAAAAAAATTCTTGACAATTCGAATGATACGTTATTTTCATAATTATTACATGAAAAAAATGTCCATCCATTTTTATGTATCATCATACACGTTGGATGGCACAAGATTTATTTGATGATGACGAGCTAAGGTGTCAATTGGGATGCCGATACTAATTTAATACCTTTCATGGTTTCCTAACTGTACTTCGTATTACTGGATATAGATATAGACTAATAGATTAGGAACTGACTTGATGGTTTGAGCGAGGCACATTTTTTAACTCAGATAAATCCTGTTGGTTAAATCCAAAGTAGATGACGATTGATCTAATTAAAAAAATATTGTCACAATAAATTTATTCAAATCGCTAATTGTTATAGCGAACTATTATTAAGTTTTATATTTCTTTACAGTGTCCTTAACAGAAGTCCAGAGCATCTCATCAAGGAGATCATTCTGGTAGATGACTTCAGTGATCATCGTGAGTATAATTCAATATGACTTTACTACTGTCGATCAGTGACATATTTGAAAATATAAAAATCATCGTTTACTCGTTCCACAGCTGAGGACGGAGAGGAACTTTCAAGGATTCACAAAGTCCGTGTGATTAGAAACGAGAAACGAGAAGGTCTAATGAGGTCAAGAGTTCGTGGAGCGGATGCAGCGACTGCGAGCGTGCTGACATTTCTGGATTCCCACTGCGAGTGCAATGCTGATTGGTTGGAGCCACTCCTGGAGAGGGTTGCCGAAGATCCTAGTCGAGTAGTCTGTCCTGTGATCGACGTTATCAGTATGGATACCTTCCAATACATTGGTAAGACATTGGACCTGTTTGATAAGTTTTTATGTAAGTTACAAGATGATATATAAATTAGAATTACCTTGTATTTTAATAACAGGAGCTTCAGCTGATCTGAGAGGTGGTTTTGACTGGAGTCTGGTATTCAAGTGGGAGTACCTTAGTCCTACAGAAAGACAGGCCAGGCAGAAGGATCCCACTAAAGCTATAAGGACTCCAATGATAGCAGGTGGACTTTTCGTTATCAATAAAGCTTATTTTGAAAAACTTGGAAAATACGATACCCAGATGGACGTATGGGGTGGTGAAAATTTAGGTAAGGAGCTATTGTGTTGTATTTCTTGTGCAAAAGTTTAATCAGAGCACGGTTATAAGGAGCAGTATTTATCTACAGAAATTTCCTTCCGAGTCTGGCAATGTGGAGGTAGTCTGGAGATTATACCGTGTTCAAGAGTAGGACACGTTTTTAGAAAACGACATCCTTATTCCTTCCCTGGCGGAAGTGGCAATGTTTTTGCTAGAAATACTAGGAGAGCAGCTGAGGTCTGGATGGATGATTACAAACAATTTTATTATAATGCTGTACCATTAGCCAGGAACATTCCTTATGGAAAGTAAGATCCTATCTTTATATTGTAACAATTGTCACAACTGGCAAACGTAGTACTTGTAAATCTAATTGAGCTTCTCTGTCTCCTTAGTATTCAAGATAGAATGGAATTGAAGCGGATACTACATTGTAAGCCGTTCAATTGGTACCTGCAGAATGTATATCCGGAATTAGTGATTCCTACAAGTGAAGGAGGTCCAGGTGGATCTTTAAAACAAGGATCAGCCTGTCTGGACAGTATGGGTCATCTCCTGGATGGTAACGTAGGGTTGTATCCTTGTCACGACACCGGCGGTAACCAGGTTAGTATTCTCATAAATCTTAGACACCTTGTAAACTTAAATTTTAACTGGTTCATGATTTCTTTTTTTAATTAGGAATGGGGTCTGACTAAAGATGGCCTGATAAAGCATCATGATCTCTGTCTGACCTTGCCCGTATACGCAAAGGGTACTACGCTACTTATGCAAATCTGTGATGGCAGTGAAAATCAAAAATGGCGACATCTCGAAGGTGGACTTATACGTCATAGTAGAATTCCAGTTTGTGTGGATTCGAGGTATCATGCTCAACGAGGTATCACTGCAGAGAAGTGTGATTCCAGTGCGGATAGTCAACGGTGGGATCTTTATAATCATAATCACTAACAGCGTAATACGATGAAAAGAAGAATCAGATAATCGAGAAAGTAATCTGATTAATCAAGAAAGTTGATGATTGAAGAATCATCATAAAGAAAAAGAAGAGGAGTAGGGCTCTGTAAAGCGCAGCCCTTGATTTCGGTGAGCGCCGCATCGTCGATGACTTTTGCGTGTACATAAACTAAAAAAAAAAAGGAAGACTCGTTTTGCGAATGAAAGTTGCGTTCTTCCATATTGAATTTTCATTTCGGACTAATGGCAGTCTTATCAGGAGGTTTAGCAATTCTCAAACTGTACTTAGAATAATTACCAGTGTCGTTAATTCCACGATTATATAAACTTTTGGATAAATTTTCAAAATTATTTAAATACTTCTCTGGGAATTATACAAGGAAAGAAACGACAAGCAATGGTTTTAGGAATCTCGTGATCTTTCTATGAGGAAGTTCACGGGCGGCCATTTTGGTCCTGCTGTGAGCTTCTTTGTTTTTTAATGCGTAACACTTTATGTTGTCACGCAGATGTTTATTTTTATAATAAATTATATCTTCACTTGGTTGTGCGAATGGGCTAGGCTTAAGAATCGCGTTGATCTCTAATTGTGACAAGAAAGCAGGAGTTATGTGGAAAACTGAAATCCACGTTATTGATTAAAAGAAATAAGCGCCCATGGGATTGCGCTGGAAATAGCAATATGCGACGAGACGCTCCTTTTTCATATTACAATTAATACTCGTCAATGACATTATAAATAATTAATTAACGTCGCTCTAAGCTTTTGTACGATAATCCACGGCTACTGCAGCCGTCCGAGGAATCTCGTCGATTTATGTATATATATACTTATTCGTATACACGTATACATACATATATATACGAGTATGTTAAATAAAGAAGCGACTCTCAGGGTCTCTAGGTAGACCGATCGTGCGACATAAATCAAGTCAAGTGAATTGATCTGGATCTCCGAAATTCATTTTGATTCGGAGTACTTTTTATTCCACGCAATTTCTTTCCACGTCCCAATGTTAATATACCCATTTTTTCTGTCCTCTTATCCTTCCCTGTTCTGATTCCTGAAACGACATCACACGTCAGGGAGAACGTTCTCTCCTGCGACATAGTACTAGTAAGACACCGTAATCGCGTACTTGTATATACTTGTAATAATTATGGCGCGGCTCGCGGACGTGTGTCGTATTTTGCGATTTCTTTTTAGTCTATAAAGATAGTGAGACTAATGAATGATAGTCGATGTTATGTACTATACGTATTAACGTGGCGGTACGGATTAATTTTTTTTACAATTGCGTTCCGAAATTTTATTAGAAATAATATGTTATTTTATGCCCTTCTTATTATACGCGAGGGTGATTTGATTCGGTGACGTACTTTGTTAGTGTCGTGTTCTTTTTAATTTTGCAATAGGATTTGATGATACGGTTTCACGACCGGTATTCTAAGAGACATTGGCACTGCTGTTCATTCTATTCCGCATTTTTGCAATGTATTATATTAAATGTATGTACCTTAAGGATACGATACGTTAGTTATATTATAGGAAAGGAGTTTTTCTAATAAAATGTGGGATATTTCCAAATGATATTCTGTATTTACATGTATTTAATTCTCATTTTTAAGTGCATCTTAATTATGCATATTTTATGGGTGGTTGTAGGTAGCAAAAGTCTGACTCGTTCGCTGTTAAGTTTTTACATTACGCTTTCCCAAACCTTTCTTCACTTTCTTTTTAAACTCTTCAATGTTCACTGCACTCGCTTCAGTAGTTTTTGTATCAGATACTTTTTCTTCTGGTGCTACGAATACCTGTGCTCTGCGTTCTTCTCTCTTCTTCGTGGCTTCTTCGTGTCTTGCTTCTTGTTCCTTGCGTCGTTTTGCTTGCTTCTGTTCCTCCTTCAGGAAGTATTCTCCCGAAGCAAGTTGTTTGTCAATCTTGCTTTCTTGTTGTGGTGGTGGGAATGGAGTGTAGGGCTTCTTTATCTTCTTATTCTTGGGTTGCTTACGTTTACTGACATTTTTGCTATTGAATTTAGGCAGGAAACGTTCCCAATTTTCGTTCTTAAGTTTTGGATCTTTAGCCAATTCTCGCTTAATCATAAGAGCCTTGATGTTATAAATAGGGTGAATGTTTTTCATTGTGTCTTCAGCAATTCGTCGAACTTGTTGCAATCCCTTATAGGGTCCCAGTGCAGCTACAGTCTGCCCTTGAACCAGAACATAACAATTTGTAAGTAGTTCAATTGATTTCAGGGTACAACCATTAGGCCCAATCAGTCTCTGCCTTCTTTTGATAAACTTTTCTTTATTTCTTACTAGTGATGATATTTTAATGATATCTGAACCAATGTCATCCTGAAGCACTCTGACAGCCTGTTCAAATGGAACTGATCGGGACATGAGCTTAATCACGTCTCTTGCTTTGATAATTATATATGGATCCCAAGTTTTTCTTGTGGTACGAACAGTCATGCTCCCTTCAATTAGATCTAGTTCAGCTTTTATAGCATACTGATTGAATGCCTTTTGCACAAGTGGCCAACATTCCTTTAGGTACTGTTCTCGATACTTGGGAAACAAGGTAGCAAAGGAACTTTCCTCCAGCAGACGATGTGGATTATCCTCAGGTTTAAATTCAGGAACCTTCAGGGACCAAGCATCATCCACAGGTCCAGTACTCTTGAGAACATCATCCGTTTTTGAATCACTCATGTTTGAACTTGCAATACACCTTTTACAGTTTAATCACACTAAACTGTTTCTTGACAATTTCGATAAAATGTGCTCACTTAACTCCCAAATACCACACAGAGGTTATATATATAGGTATACCTATTCATAAAAAAAATCAATAACGAATTCAATCACTGCGATTCACACGCAATACGCAGTTCTGTTTAACAACTTAACAAATGCACACTTGCAAACATTTAACCAATTATATTTAAATAACAGCATTAAACTCAAATAGGATTCTCAAACTGAATTCAGCTGAGTTTCAAACACTTTAGCCATCTATCCATTGAATTTCAAAGCCAAACATTTACCATCGACTGAAGATAAATAGACTAGGCATCATACCGACATATACCAGAGATGAATAGGGAGATGCACAACGAGAAGAGTCCGAAAGTAGAATTATGTGATCAGCGCCTCCGTCGACAATGCGAATTCCGTCGTAGCCGAGCTAAACGTGAACACGAACGTGTAGCTTGGCGGGCAGAGGTTCTCCGCTACTTCACCGTTGGTTCCCAATGCAATCCTTAGAACGAGACCGGAAACTATAGAACGTCTCAAGAACGATTGAAAAAGCCTATTGTTGAAACATTTTTAATACATTTTTAAGAAAGTGCAGTGCTAACTTGACGTCCGTGTAGCACCTCAATTTTTGAAAATTTTTTTATCAATAGGCTTTTTCAATAGCTCTTGAGAAGTATGCTAAATCTAAATCTTGCAAAATATATGGAGTAGATAAAAATTGAATTGAATTTCTAGAATATCGAAAATAAATTATGTTCTAATCGAAATATTTATGAATTAGGTGTTTGGAACATTAAAATAATTAAATGAATCAATAAAGTAAAATATTAACACTTAGAAATTGGAAATTCTGGCCGAACATATTTAGAAATACTGGAAACTGCTTAAAATTGTGTGCGCGTAAATTCGTCGCGGAGGGCTTGACGAGTGGGAGCAGGCGGATGGTGGGGGGAGCGCTCGAGGCAGTGCCCGGACTCGCAGCGTTTATTCTTCCTCGAGCCGGTCTCCTATACTGGTCTCTTGGAAACACCTCTCGTATCCACTTCCTACCTTCTTCTATTTCTATATTTATTTCTGCTCTACTTCCTTACTTCTTTATCCTTCATTCTTTATTTTCTTACTTATTTCTTTCCTTATTTCTTCTCTACTTTTATACCCCGATTCCTTACATTTCTACTTTTTAACTCTTAAAATTCTATCTTCCTTTATAACTTCTCGTTTCACTTTGTTCTCTCCTTCTTTACATTGTGCTTGTTTTACTTATCTTGGGGCCCATTTCTCTCCCTTATACTTCCTACTTTTCATACTTTTTCCACTGTTCTCTTTTCTCGCTCCTCCAGAAGAATCTGATCTTCGTGCATACGCTTTACGCATTTACTTCGCCCCTTATTCCCTCAGTCATTACCATCTCTGTTTTTCACTCTTTCTTTTTAACAATCTTCCTCTTTTCCCCTTCAACAACATCTTCCGTGTCTGCTGCCACCAAACGTTTCTACTCAATTTCCGTATCTCCTATTCCTTCCTATATCTCCATCACTCTCCTCCTAGTAATACGTATACTGTATCATTATTGTATTTGCCCAATAAATTATCTTGTAACACTTATACCCCTTTCGAATCTCCTATTCCTTCCTATTCTCCATCACTCTCCTCCTAGTATATTCTTGAAAACTAAGTTATTAAAAAGTCCTTTGGAAAAGGAAAAGTCCAAAGTGCTAACGAATATAACATACAATATGTATATTATAGTGGTGATATATTAAATATGTCTCTAATGGTATTGTTATTGCTAATCTTTCGCAAACCATATATGTACATATGTACTTTGTATACTGTATAATTATTGCATTTGTCGAATAAATTATCTTGTAATACTTATACACATTTCGAATCTCCTATTCCTTACTATGTCTCCATCACTCTCTTCCGAATATATCCTTAAAAACTAAGTTTTTAAAATATCCTTTGGAAAAAGGAAAAATTAAAGTCGTAGTGCATATAATATACAATACGTATATTATATTGCAGTGATATACAATGTAATATATCTTTAATGGTACTGTTATTACAAATCTTTCGCGGGCTGTATGTGTATGTCTGTATGTATATCTGCACTTTGTATGCTATGTACTTTGTATGTCTGTATGTATGTCTGTACTTTGTATACTGTACCATTATTACGTTTGTCGAATAAATTATCTTGTAACACTTATACACGTTGATATTCTTTTGCCCTATGCGAATATCCCAGAGTAAGAATGAGTTCTGTCTCTCT